AATTTATTACTTTTAGTCTGTAATTTTATCTTATGGATCTTGTATGCAGATGCACGCGTTGGCATTCCTTACCACCCATGCACATAGTCGATTGATGAACTTATCGATTAAATGTTTAAATATATGAATGGCAGTCAATTGACGAACTTATCGATTACATGTTTAAAAGCTCCATGGCAATATCGATATATATATTTGTATGTATACGTTTTAAAGTGTGTTTGTGGGCTCTCTCTCGTTTTCTGGCTGTTTGCAAAATATATTTCCCATACCAAGCTTGGACTCCTCTTTCTAGATAGCGGAGCTGGAACGCATCAATAGCTAGATTACTGGTTTCGGTCACTGAGTCTCGTTCCCGTACGCAGATTAATGAACTCGTGAAGCTTCAAACCTAGCAGAGACTCAATTGTTTAACGCTTTATCCCTATCCTATTGCCGTAATAAATAGATTTTTAACTTATACATGTATTTATTTTAAAAATAATCATTTATTATAGAGTGAGAAGCTTCTGCTTTGTGCAGAATTAGATCATATTGTCGAACAAATGAATGAATTATACAAAAATCGTTTCGATACTGATCATTTACATGATACAGTAATTTCTGAACTCCAAAAAATCGAATCAATTCTCAAGTAATTTCTGATATTTATTTTAACAAAAAAATATAATTACAGCTCCTTAAATCAATTTGTTAGAGATAAATTCAATGAATATCCTGAACTGATTAGTTATATTCAAGAATTGGAAGATATCCTAACTGGATTGATAAAACTTTATAATGAGTCGAATAAAGTAAGTTCGTGGTGAAATGACTTTTCGGATATATTTATCACTTTGCTTATCCTTCCCCTTAATCTGTTATTCTTTTGATTTTCGTATCGAGATCTCTGTATCAAGGTGTGGTACTTGTAGAGATGATCAGGAAGAAAACCTACCTCACTTATTGTTCTAGTTAGCCCCATATATCAGCATAGCGTGTTTACAATCCTGTGTGATTGGAACTCACATACATTTATAAGGTTAAATCACTTTAATTAACATTTAATGACCATTTAAAGTGAAGTGTTAAGTTATAAGAAATCTTTATTGTTTGACATAATTGATTTCATTTGTTTTGTTTCCCTTCTCGTTTAACACAATTGCAGATTACAAATGAAGATTTGGAACATGCTTATAAACAGTCGTCTGATTTCCTAGCTGAATTTCAATCAGACACTACATGTTTCGATACGGAAGAAGTAGTTGAAAAGATACCATTAAAAATTCATACCGAAATCGACGTTGATAACAATGCTAACTGTATTTCGAATTTGAGCAGTATTAAAACTACAACGCAACCGGAACTTCTTGGTAAGTAGTGGGTTTTCTCAAGAATCTAAAATTTTCGTTTCACTATTGGTGATTAATTTAAGATTAATTTTAATAATCGAATATTGAATGTTTTACACTTTGAAAAGTTATGAAAGGGAGTAACCACGAAATTTACATATTGTTTATCAGTCAAAGATGTAAATATAATAGTTGCGTAAATTTGTCCATTGTGAATTTCATTCTATAGAAATAATTCATACATCACACTTATCAATAGTCAGTCATTTAATCATGATAAACACCATAGGACTTGACACAAATGTCCATCGATCTAAGTTGCCACATTGCCTATTAACACAATGGAATAAATATGATCCACAGCAAATAATTCAAAGTAACAGTAGTATTAATAACATAACACTTCATAAGACATCATAGTTAGTGACTTCATAGACTGATGCTACATTTGGCCTGACCCCACTCGTAACTTTCGCTCAACTCAGTCCTACACTGATCCGAATCACACGTGGCGGTGGGTGATCGTTTGGTATACGTGATACATGTCCAAACCATTTCGGCCGATGAAGATTCACTACCTCATCTATTACTACTTCGCCTTGTTACGAAACTTTCTCTGGTAAATTTTATCGCTTTATATATAATCCTCGAAATAATTTTAGTCATTTGTTCATATAAAATATAAGACTTGTTCATACCTTGTCTTTTGAAATTTCCTTATGCTTCTGTTGAGTCGGCTTTCGGAGAAGTTCAATGGAGCCTCCAGTGGCCCAAAAGGAGCCGAAGGATCTTAGTCAATCGATGTACGATGAAACGTTCGAGAATTCCAGCTGGTGTTCTATTATTGGTCGGTTGCATAATATGACGTTAACGGATTGGCTGAAATATGATGTTGATTTAACAGACGCCAACATCTATAAATACCCTTGATTTTCTGTACAAGAATGAACCTTTGGATAAAATATTTTCTCTCATACTTGTGTCTTCTCTCTGGTGTTCAAGTCGCTGTGTAGTTCTAGTCTGCGGGTTACCAGATAGCTTAGGAGTCGTATATAGCGTTTCATCGACGAGACGTATCAGTGGCGACGGGGATGAAAACTACAATGAATATTTCCTTGGAGCAATTAGAAGCCTATATGGTGCGTCAAGAAAAGAGGTTTGAAGAGTCCCAAATTAGAATCATGGAAACCCTGATGCAGAAATTCTGCCTGTCCGAGAAGAACCCTGCTTCTAGTGAATCTCAAGTATCACATACTGATTCAGTCATTAACGCCATCCATGAATTTAATATTGATGATGTAGCAGGTGTAACCTTTGAGTCGTGGTTTAAGAAGTATGAAGATTTGTTTTATATTGATCTTTGCAAACTGGATGATGCTTCAAAAGTCAGAATACTTCTGAGAAAACTTGGGACTATGGAACATGAATGCTGTAGCAACTTCATTCTTCCGAAGAATCCACGAGATTTTAGTTTTGATGATACAGTCAAAAACCCTGTCCCAAATCTACGGAGAACAATCATCTCTATTCAATATCCGTTACCAGTGCTTAAAGTTAACAAAAGAACCAGGAGATGACTGGGTGAAGCATGCAGGGACTGTGAACCGAGAATGTGAGAGGTTCAGATTGTCGTTCATGTCTAAAGATCAGTTTAAATGCTTAGTATTTATCTGTAGCCTCCGTTCACCCGAGGATGCCGATATCCGAACCAGAATCCTAAGCAAACTCGAACACTGCCCTAACATGACCCTGCAGGAAGTGACTACCGAGTGTCAAAGGTTAGTAAACTTGAAGCATGATACCTCAATGGTAGAAAACGGTAACTGTTTCCATAATGTCAATGCAGTCAAGAGAAAAGTCTTTCAAGGTTCCAGCACACACAATTGTCGTAATAACAGCGACAAACCAACATCTCCATGCTGGGCATGTGGAGGTTGGCTTTATAAGAGGTTTTGCTCACATAAAGAAAATCGTTGCAGCAAATGTCATCTGAAGGGGCATAAGGAAAACCTCTGCAGAAGAAGAAACTATAAACAACATTCCTTGAAACCTTACTCAAAGAAATACAAATATAGTGCTCCAACCAACAAAATATTGGTATCACATAACAAGGCACGAAGTTGCCGCCAAACAAAGTACGTAACCTTGAATATTAATAAACACCGTACTCGCCTTCAGGTTGACACAGCTTCTGATATTATTATAATCAGCCCAGAAACATTGAAGAACATTGGAAGACCCACAGTTTTCCTAACAACACAGCTGCGCACAGTGCATCTGGGGAGGAAGTTAAATATTGTTGGAGAAGTGCCATGCACTGTTTCTAAAGGTACTGTAACAACAAATGCAACAGTATATCTTACAAAGAAGCCAGCTCTCGACTTGATGGGGTTGGATCTTATAGAAACACTTAAACTAGCAGACTATTCCATTAACAGTATCTGCAGACGAGTCAGTAATGACAACACCTCAGAGTGGAGCCAGAAAAATGCCATGTTACAAAGACACCAAAACGTGTTTAAAGAAGGATTGGGGGAATGTACGAAGGCCAAAGCAGTGTTAACTCTAAAGCCTGCAGCTACTCCCGTTTTTCGACCTAGGAGACCCGTACCATATGCTGCTCTACCAGTGGTTGAACAAGAACTATAACGACTTCGGAAACTAGGTGTCATTGAACCAGTGAATTTCTCAGAATGAGCCACACCGATAATAGTAGTAAAGAAGACTAATGGTAGCGTTCGTTTATGTGCCGATGACTCAACCGGGTTGAATGAAGACTTAGAAACTTATCAGTATCCATTACCCTTACCTGAAGATTTTTTTGCTTAACTGAACGGAGGTAAGCTTTTTGCAAAGTTGGATTTATCAGAAGCTTATTTACAATCACCTGTTGCTGACGAGTTTAAAAACCTGCTTACTATAAACACACACAAGGGTCTATTCCGGTATAATCGACTACCCTTCGGCGTCAAGACGGCCTCATCCATATTTCAGCAAATAATTGATACTATGCTACAAGATGTTTCAGGTACTGCAGCTTACCTAGATGATATAATAATTATGGGAGTAGATAGAGTAGACTTAGAAAAGAAGCTCAATCAGGTGCTAACGCGAATAGCCGAATATGGACTTCGACTTCGTCCAGAGAAATGTGACTTCTGTATGCAAAAAGTACGCTACCTAGGGTTTATAATCGACAAAGATGGAAGAAGACCAGATTTGGAGAATACCCAGGCAGTGAAAACCATGCCCAGACCGACGGATGTCCTCACACTACGATCCTTCTTGGGACTATTTAGTCATTATGGAGCTTTTATTGCGAACCTTCATCAATTACGTGCCTCCCTGAATAACCTTCTGGTGAAGAATGTAAAATGGAGTTGGTCTGCAACTTGCCAAACCGCTTTCGATGAAATCAATAAAGTACTAGTCTCGGATCTGCTGCTCACGGATTACAATCCATCTTTACCCATCGTAGTGGCATCAGACGCTTCAAACTACTGCATTGGAGCAATTATTTCTCACATCATGCCAGATGGATCCGAGCAAGCGATATCACATGCGGCTAGATCGTTAACGTCAGCAGAATGTAACTATAGTCAGATCGAGAAGGAATCATTGTCGGTTATCTTCGCTGTCAAGAAATTTCACAAGATGATATTCGGACGTCAATTCACCCTATTAACTGACCATAAACCATTACTAGCCAGCTTTGGGGCGAAGGAAGGTATACCTGTATGCACTGCTAACAGACTGCAACGTTAGAGAAATACACTCTTGGGTTATGACTTCAAGATCAAGTACCAGCCCACTACTGATTTTGGACAAGCTGACGCTTTATCTAGACTGATTGGTTCACAAGTAAAACAGAAAGAAGACACTTTGGTGGCAGCAATCGAGCTGGAAACAGAAGTACATCGAGTTTTGGAAGACGCAGTTGATGGTTTACCAGTTACTTTCAAGGCCATCAAAGAAGCCACAGAAAATGACAAGACTTTAAGAGAGGTTAGTGGTTATCTTCTCACCAAGTGGCCGAACCGTCGTTTTCAAGGAGAAATGCTACAATATTTTCGCCGACGGGACTCACTTATGATGGTCGACTCATGTATTATGTTTGGTGACAGAATTATCGTTCCAAAAGTATTACGCTACAAGGTTCTGAGACAATTCCACAGCGGTCATCCTGGGAGAGTAAACAGCCTTGTCTGACTCCGGTCCTTACTTGGAATGCATCTGTCAGCTGTCCTCCATGCACGACTTTGCATTGTAGTCCGTCATATGAGTTCCGGATAATATTGACAATCTTCTCAGGAACTCCGTAGTGTTGAAGAAGTTTCCATAATGTCTTCCTATCTACACTGTCGAATGCCTTTTCATAATCAATGAAGTTGATGTATAGTGATGAGTTCCACTCAACTGACTGTTCGACGATGATCCGTAGTGTTGCAATTTGGTCTGTGCACGACCGATCCTTATGGAATTCTGACTGTTGATCTCGAAGTTGGGCGTCTACTGCATCCTTCATCCGGTTGAGCAACACTCTGTTGAAGATCTTCCCTGGTATTGACAGTACTGTGATGCCTCTGTAGTCTTCACATTTGCTCAGATTTCCTTTCTTTGGAATCTTGACGAGGTGTCCTTCTTTCCAGTCCATCGGCACTTGTTCCTCCTCCCAAATCTTTTTGAATAGAAGGTAATGCATGCTTGTGGTTGCTTCGATGTCTGATTTCAGTGCTTCAGCTGGTATGTTGTCGGGTCCTGCTGCTTTCCCGTTCTTGATTTGCCTGACGGCCATTCTAATTTCTTCCGTCGTTGGTGGATTGACATCTATAGGAAGATTTATGTGTGCTGCTTCGATGTCCGGTGGATTCATTGGAGCCGGCCTATTCAGGAGTTCCTCGAAGTATTCTACCCATCTGTTACGCTGTTGTTGAATTTCGTTGATTGGCTTGCCTTCCTTGTCTTTGACCGGTCTCTCTGGTTCACTGTATTTCCCTGATAGTTTCTTCGTTGTATCGTAAAGTTGTCTCATGTTTCCTTCTCTAGCAGCTTTTTCTGCCGTCGTTGCTAGTTCTTCAACGTATTTCTTCTTGTCGGTTCTAATGCTCCTCTTCACTTGCTTGTTTGCTTCTATGTATTCAGCTTGTGCTTGGACTTTCTCTGCTCGTGTTCGGCTGTTGTTTATTGCTGCCTTCTTGTTCCTTCTTTCTTTGATCTTGTCCAGAGTTTCTGTAGAGATCCACTCCTTATGATGGTGTTTCTTTAGGCTCAGAACCTCTTGACACGTTGAAGTTAATGCTTCCTTGATGCCTTTCCAGTTGTCCTCCATACTAGTTTCTTCTTCCTCCAGTAGATCTTGTAAGGCTTGGAACCTGTTGTTGAGAGCTATCTTG